CAAAACAGAGTCCCAGCCGACTGCACTGTCACACAAGGTAAGGGGCAAAAAAATATAAAACAATAAAAAGCATGTGGCAATTCAGATGAATACACCTTTTAAAATTGATTGTGGAGCAAGGTGATACTTTCTTTCTTTGATTGTACTAGCAATGATTCAAGCTGTTATCCCTCAGTCCCCATCTCATCCCCACGACGCAGCCTTAAACCTTCATCCGTCCTTCAGATGAGACGTTAAGCCCAGAGGTCCCGTCTGCTTGTTTAGGTGGATGTTAAAGATCTTCCGTGGTCCTATTCAAAAAGAAAAGGGAGTTTCTCCCTCCCTCCCTCCCTCCCTCCCTCCCGGTGTCCTGGCCAACAATCCCCTCCAAATCATTTTTGAAAAATGTTGTCACTCACACCATCGCTGTTCGTGGGACACTGCTGTGCATAATTGCCTGTCGCGTTTCACCCACAAAACACACAGACACTCCACTCCACTCCTGTGAAACGCTTTGAGACCTCTCGATATTGTGATAAGGCGCTATATCAAATGTTCCGGCCTCCTGCTTGTCCCTTGTCCCCTCCGCTCTACCATCGGTCCCCATGCTTTCAGCCACTACTGCCCCAAATCTTTGGAACTCTCTCGCTCGATCTCTCCACCTTGCTCCCTCCTTCCCCCTTTTCAGAACACGGCTGAAGACCTTCCTCTTCGACTGTGCTTACCTCCTCCCTTCCCCCAGCTCGACCTCGTACTCCGCCACTGTTAAGCACTCCAAGACAGAGCCCCTGTGAAGGGTACTGTGTAATGCAAGTTGTTGTTTGACGAATCGGTGTTGGTTCATGTATGGAGATGTTTATTGGAAGCAAACATTGACTTCAGTCCAAGATCTGATTTGTCTTTAATCGCACAACAGATCGAACCAAAATAAACAGGAAAATGCGTACGTTTCCTTGTGTACTGTATTTTAGCACTAACCTCTTCTTGTTTTCTCTTCCCAGCTCCGTTTACTAACTTAGAGGACACAAACTCAGAGGTGAGGCCCTGGGCATGTTTTTATGAGTGTTTGGTTCAGTCCTGTCACTACGTGTAGCAGAGATGCATTCAGTCTGCAAAATCCATCATTGCCTTCCTATTCTTTCTCGAGAGTTATAGAGCAGTGGCCAGAGAACCGTATCCCAGCCCTGTGTCAGCAGCAAACACTGACACACAAGTCAAGTCACCTTGGCTGCAAAAATGCGTGCAGTGATGCGTAACAATGATGAACTGTAGTGACTGTGGAGGTCGCTTGAGAAACACACGATGCAAACGTTGTGTGCGAGGCATTGCAGGGTGGTGACTGCCACCTTGTGGGCAAAGCTGGCAGTGCAGCGAGTCAGCGTCCTGCCTTTTTTTTGTAATTTCACGTTGAAACTGATAAGATGATAAACCTTGGGAATGTGGGGGAGGGGGGGGGGGGGGGGGGGCGTCCAAAATAAAACGTGTAACAAGTTTGCATTAAAAGTTCGACTAAATCGAAAGGAAGGATGTGCATTTTCCATAGCGTCTCATCACATTACAATATCTTAAAGGGCTTCACAGGTGATTCCTGTGATTATTATTATATTATTATATATTATTATTCCTGTAAGTGTAGTGAGCGTGTAGGCAGCTAATTTGCCCACGGCAATGCCCCACAAACACTAGTCAAGTGAAACTCCCTTCTCCTTTTCAAAAGTGGCGTGTGGACCTTTACCGTCCGCCTGGACGAGCACTGACAGGAAAATGAAATGAATCTGAATGGACTGATTGTGTTTGATTTTTTCTTATACGTGAAAGTTAAAGTCCTCCTTCGATACCGACTGCTGAAAGTAATAGCCTTTAATTCTTTGTCAGGATGACAATGAGACATCCACGCTGTTTGAGATTGCATTGCTAAACGTCATACGCCAATTTAATGACAAGAAAGGTAAGGCATTGGGATCATTACTCCCGCTGTACGAGGTTATCGTAATAATCCTGGCATTTGATACAGCGCCTTATCACGTCTTCGAGACATCTCAAAGCGCCTCACAGGATATACTGGAAAGTGAATTGACTGTGTATTTTGTGGGTGAAACTCGGCAGGCAATTGCGCACAGCAGCGTCCCACAAACAGTGGTGGATTACGTACAGACTGCACCCCCCGCCCCCATACTAAAAAGGAGGGTCACTTTGCACATTTTCTTTGTTGGTGCACACTGAGAAGTTACTACATTTTAAATTGAAAAGCAAAAAAGCAAAAGGTTCAATTATATTCAAGAACATAAGCATTTGCGAGGCGAAAGACTATCTAGTTCGCCTTCCACCATCCTGGCAGTTGCTTGACGTGTCGTGTCCCAAACTGAATACTGTATCTCCGAGATATTATTTTCTAGCAGAAATCTATCTAATATAAGAACATAAATTTAATAATAATAATAACAATAATCCTTGTATTTGATACAGCTCTTTATCATGCCTTCGAGACGTCTCAAAGCGCTTCACAGAATAGACTATAAAGTGTATAGACTGTCTGTGACAGTGTGTACTGTGACAGTACAGAATATACTGTAAAGTGAATTGACTGTGTATTTTGTGAAATATTTCAGAACATCTGTTGAACAACGGAACATCACAAGCCAACGAAACGCTGCTGCTCTCTCCGGTCCTGTCCAAGGCCCTGGACACTGTAATGAAGTTCTTCCTGGACAAGGACAGAGAGCAGCCAGAGGAGAAAATCAACGTGACCCGACTGATGAAGGTGAGCGAGAAGAACTACAGCGCGGAGAGCCCCGTGGTCTTCGACATGGTCTCCAAGATCAGCCGCCTGGCCCAGGAGAAGTCGGTCGAGAAGGACTACATCAAGGAGCCGAGCAACGAGGCCTCGGCCGCTCTCCTGCCTAAAGGTACCATCATCACCAGCACTCTGCCCGGCCTGCACAGGAACCTGAGCGAGGACGTCATCGCCATCATCTCCTCGGAAGAGGACTCTGGCCGTGAAACCCCTTCAGCATCACTGGGGAGGAAAGCAGGCAACAGCAGCTCAGAGAAGGACACTGCGGCACACCCAGCTAACCCCACGTCCCCGGGCAATGGGGGGATGTTCAACATGTCCCAGGGGAACGGCACCAGAAAGGAGAGCCGGGTGGACCTCGCTGCCTCACAGCTGGTGTCGGAAATCAACAGCTACATGTTATGGATCGTGAGCTCCAACATGTCAGCCAATGCCAGCGCTGCCCAGACAGGCCAGAGGTTCCTGGACTTCATCACCAAACTGAACAAGCTGATCAGCAAAGCCCCCAAGGTCTTGGCCAGGAACAGCACCAAGGACCTGGAGGCCAGCCAGGAAATCCTGGGGAAGATGGTGTTCCTCAGCGTTCAGCAGGCCAAGCAGCTGCAGAACAAGCTGGAAGGGAAGGAGGTCCACAACCTCACCAACACCAAAATGCCCAATGCCACTGAGGCCAAACTGCCCACCAAGGTCAACATCACCGTCGTCGAGAAGCTGAAGAAGTCCAACCACTCAAACCAGCTCAACGAGACCGCACGGATGTTCTACCAACTGCAGAAAAACCTGGTGCAGCTGAAGGAGCAGATGGACAAGACAAGCAAAGCCAAGACGGCCTGGCTGCTGGAACACTCACTCACCATTGCCTCCCAGCTGAAGCAGATCCAGTGGCTGAGGAAGATGAGCCCTCTCATAGACTTCGAGCTGGAGACCCTGGAGAACTTTGCTACCATCCTGATGTCCGCGGGATGTCTGACCCAAACCAGCCATTGGGACGAATGTATTAGCATCACCGTGGAAGAGGTTTAGTGACGCGATTGGTGGAGACGTTCCCCCTCTGCTGAGTGGATAACAAAATCCATCCCCCCCACACCATTATCTTCTTCCTTCCTTCCTTCCTTCCTTCTTCTTCCTTCCTTCCTTCCTTCCTTCCTCTCTAACTCCCACCCTCCCTCTCTCTCTCTCTCTCCCTCCCTCCCTCCCACTCTCCCTCCGACCCTTGTTCCATCCCTCCATTCCCTCCCTCCCTCTCTCCCTCTATTCATCCATCCCTCCAGCATCTCACCACTAGCCCCCTCCCCTCCACAAAATAAGACAAGTTCTTTCTGAAACTAGTTTAAAAAATATCAAAATTTACATTTTTAAGTTTTGTTTCTCTTCTCAAATAAATGTAAAGAAAAAGTACAGGTAACGAACAAACAAAGCAACAGCGCTTCACATGTGTATGTTTTTATTTTAACGACTCGGTTCAAATAGAGTGATTCCACTTTTCGTGTCCTGTTTATAATAATAGTTAATAATAATAATCCTTGCATTTGACACAAGGCCTTATCACGTTAGTGAGCCGCCTCAAAGTGCTTCACAGAACATATTGTAAAGCGTAGTGACTGTGTATTTTGTGGGCGAAACGCGGCAGCCGATTGCGCACAGCAGCGTTCCCCACAAACAGCCGTGGATTGAGTGACCGATTTATTATTATTTATTTATTTGGGGGGGGGGGGGATTATTATCCCAGGATAAGCGATCCGCCAATTGATTAACAACCGGGTTAATGCCTGGTAAACAGAGGTGTGGAATAAAGAAACTTGCTTAAGGTTTCGCCCTGCCCGGGAATCGAACCCGGGTCCTCTCGCTTGCGAGGCGAGAGCTGTAGTGTTACGGGACTCCATGAAACTTGTCATTTTTATTTATTCTTTTCAGGGCGAGTCAGATCGGATGGTGGGGGGTGGGGGTGGAGGGGGAAGGGCTGAAGACGGTAAATCGTGAGCATGCGACGGGGTTTTTTTTAATTGCAGCCGCTTTAAGAGGTGTGAGTAACGAGGAGCTGTCACTGACACCTGGTTTTATATCCGTGACGGATCATTTAAAGCCAACAACAACAACAACAACCTCTTTAACCCAGCGCTGAGGAGGAGGGCTTGCGGACAGCATCAACGTTGAAGATCGTGCAGCGTCTCTTGAAAACAACTTCTCCTCTCCTCAGAGGCACGAAACAATCCGGAGTATAGATCGCACTCGCGAGAGAGAGGGAGAGAGAAGAGAGACGTGTGCATTTCTTGTTTCAAACAGTGAACTGAGGGAAGAGGAAGGAGCAAGTTGCAAGTTGGAGCGCTGAGAATCCAGAGGGAAAATCCAGAGCCTCAGGTAACAGGAAGCTGCAGGGTAGTGCCAGCCTGGCTTGGTGTAGCCCCAGCCTGGCTCAGGGTAGTGCCAGCCTGGCTCGGTGTAGTGCCAGCCTGGCTCGGTGTAGTGCCAGCCTGGCTTGGTGTAGCCCCAGCCTGGCTCGGTGTAGTGCCAGCCTGGCTCGGTGTAGTGCCAGCCTGGCTCAGTGTAGTGCCAGCCTGGCTCAGTGTAGTGCCAGCCTGGCTCAGTGTAGTGCCAGCCTGGCTCGGTGTAGTGCCAGCCTGGCTCGGTATAGTGCCAGCCTGGTGAAGTGGTAACTCTCTCGCCTCTGAGTCAGAAGGTTGTGAGTTCAAGTCCCACGTCAGGACTTGGGATCACACAGTCTAAGCTATCGCCCCATTGCAGTGCTGGGGAGCGCTGCACTGTCAGAGGTGCTGTCCTTTGGATGAGACCTTAAACCGAGGTCCCGACTGCCTGTTCAGGTGGACGTTAAAGATCTCGTGGCACTATTAGAAAAGAGAAGGGAGTTTCTCTCTCCCTCCCGGTGTCCTGGCCGATAAACCCCCCCAAATGAAAACAAATTGGTCCTTCGTTTCATGTCTGTTCTGGGGACGTTGCTGGGCAAGACTGTGAACAGAAGTTTCTGTTGGAACATCAGTGTCCTTTACAAAGTCGGCAGCTTTGACGAGTGACGTCCAAGGGTCTGATGTCTGCCCTCACTCCTCACACCCCTCACACCTCCTGAGAGAGCAGTGTGAATTCAGGAAGTTGTTTGCTCAGCAGGGAATTAACAACATGGGATCATTTGTATCTCGTTCTTCTGGTCCTGACATCGCTCTGGCAACGGCGGCCAATTTTATTCAGCCCCGCTGGCTGTGAAGTGCGGTCTCTCGTGCAGTATGAATGGGTGTTGGGGTTGGGAGGGGGGGGGGGTGTTCAGAGCCAGTTTGTCCATGTGTTTTTGATAGGTGATAAACAAGATGATGGCTGCGTCGCAAATACTTTTATATTTAGTTTCTCTTTGGGAACACAAACTTTATTCTATTATAATGTAGAATCTCACCACAGGCAGCAAACCATGCCCCCAGCCCTCCCCCCCCCCCACACCCCACCCCATCCCCTGTAATTTGGGGGAACTTAGCTACTGGTTATTGTTAACAAGTTGGAGTTTGACGATCGACCTCTTCGCAGAGATTGTGAGCGTGTGGGGCAATTAGCCCATTCCAGCATTTCAGTCCCCTCACCCTGTCCTCCTCTCTCCTGTGCCTGTGGTTCTGTGTACTGTCATGGCCACAGCACCATGAACGTGGACGATGACGCCAAGTGGCTGGAGTGGGTGACCAGGCAGTTTGAGAGCATCGCGGGCGAGGATAAGGAGATCGATTTGGAAGAGTTCACGTCTGCGCTCAAAGTGAAAGAGGCAAGTCTGCGTTCTCGCACATTGTGGAGGAGATTTAATGACAATCTCCCTCCCTCCCTCCCTCCTCCCCACCTTTAAAGCCTTAAGACTTTCCTTTAAAGGTGCTTTCAGTCACCTTGCCTCCCCCGCCCACGGCCCCCCCAAACTCATCCTGTGAAGCCCTTTGAGACGTTTCAATGATGTGATAGGGCGCTATATAAATTGCAAGCATTATTATTATTTTTTCTCAGTCTTTCTTTGCAGAGAGGTTCTTTGCTCTGTTTGACTCGGACGCCAGCGGGAGCATTAGCCTGGATGAGCTGCTGAAAGCCTTGGACCTGCTCATCCACGGGAACGAGACAGACAAACTCCGATTTCTCTTCCAAGTCTACGATGTGGATGGTAACGTCTGGCCCTAAACCCGCCCCAGCACAATGAATGGGGCCTACCTAGCGCACACTCAATAAAAACAAGAGGCCCGAAGCGATACCTAACCCAGTTTTAACAGTAAAGTTTCATTTTTATTTCCAGATGCATGAGATACTTCAGTCGCTCGGCTTCCTCTCCAATCTGGCTCGATAATCGCTTACTTCTATCGTCCTTTCCTCGTGTCTCGCACAGCGCTTTGGGATGTCCTCCCGACACGGAAGGCGCTGCGCAAGTGTAATTTGTTGTTGTTGTTGTTGTCTTGTCGGTCACGCGCGACAACGTCACCTCGCGGCGACTGACCGGCGCTTTGACCCGTTTCCGATCACTTCGTTGGCTTTGCAGGCAGCGGCTCCATTGACCCAGACGAGTTGCGGATTGTGCTGAAGTCCTGCCTGAGGGAGAGCGCCATCTCTCTGCCCGAGGAGAAGCTGGATGACCTGACCCTCGCGCTCTTCGAGTCCGCAGACAAGGACAGCAGTGGCACCATCACCTTCGAGGAGCTCAAGGAGGAGCTGGAGAACTTTCCGGAAGTGATGGAAAACCTGACCATAAGGTACGGTTTCGCCCCACGTCTCAATGGGGTGGGAAGGGGGGAGGTTGAGTGGGGGGGGGATAACAACAACTGGTATTTATATAGTGCCCTTCATACCGGACCAACTTCTCACAGTGATCTTAGAGTGGATTTTGTTTTTGGTCAACCAAGTGTCTGACACATATGTAAAAAAACACTATTCTCTCCCCCCCCCCCCCCGCTCCCCCTCTCCTCCCCCTTTCCCTCCCTCTCCAGTGCCGCCAACTGGCTGAAGCCCCCCTGCACGGAGAAGCGTAAGAACAAGCCCCCCCGCTACTTGACGCCCGCCTATTGGTTGAACAACAGCCGCAAGCTCCTCTTCATGTGTTGCTACCTCCTCGTCAACATCTTCCTCTTCATCTTCGCCGCCATGAAGCACAGCGAGCTCGGGAGGTGGGTCATGGTGGCCAAGGGCTGCGGTCAGTGCCTCAACTTCAACTGTACCTTCATTGTGGTGAGTAACTGTGAGTAACCGGGGAGGGGCCGCAGGGATCTGGGTGGTGGGTGGGGGGTTGGGGGGTGGGGGGGGGTGATCTGAGCTCACGGTCGAGGCCGACTCTCCAGTGCAGGGCTGGGGTGTTGGAAAACCATGGTGCAGTGTAGTGACTGTGTGTTATGTAGGCGAACAGGAGAGAGAGAGAGGGTGTGCGCGTGTGTACCCCCTGGGAGTTTTTCCGAGGCTTCCCAGGAAGGAGATGCGCTTTCCCTCTCGTGCTTTCCTCTGGATGCCCCCCCCCCACCCCGGCGCTGTGTTACCTGTGCGGGGGGTGTCAGCGCTCTCACTGTTGCTGACGTGCTGTGTGTCCTTCAGGTGCTGATGCTGCGGCGGGGCTGACCTGGCTAAGGGCCACCTGGGTGGTCCGGGTGCTGCCACTCGACCAGCACGTCCTGCTCCACCAGCTGGTCGGCTTCGCTATCTTCGGGCTGACAGTCGTTCACTCTAACGCTCACGTCATCAATTTCGGTGAGTCACTGCGGGGGTGGGGGGGATGGGAGGTGGGGGGATGTGGGGGGATGAGGGTGGACGGGGTTCGGGGGGGAGGGGGAGAATGGTGGGGGTGAAAGGCAGCGTCGTCCATCAGGAGATTGAAAAGGGAGGAAGAAGTTGCATGTTCACAGGGTTACACGGTTAGTTAAACAGCGTTACACAGTTACTGCACTTAGTTTATATAGAATTGCATAGTTAGTTACGTATCAATAATAATAATAATCTTCGCATTTGATATAGTACATCATCACGTCCTTGAGACGTCGCAAAGAGCACCACAGGATACATTGTGAAGTGTAGTGACTGTGCAGTGTAGTGGCGGCTTGAGTGACCACATTTTTTTGGGGGGGTGGGGTGGGGGGGGGGTGGGGGGAAGGGATTATTACCTCCAGAAAGCGATCCGGTAATATGTTAACTATGATAGTTAGTTGCGTAGCATTCATTGAGATAACACAGTTAGTCGCAAACAGTTACGTAGTTAGCGACACAGAGTTACATAACATTGGACAGAGTTACGCAGAGTTCTCCTCGTCTCCCCCTTTGCTCTGTTGGGAATGATCCGAAACTCTGTTGGGAATGATCCCGTTGCCCCCGTCCCCCGTCCCCCGGCCCCCGGCCCCCGGCCCTCGGCTCTCGGCTCGGTTGGCTGCTCTCGCACCTCGTGTGCGAGACGGTCCGCAGCCTGAGTTGTTGTTGTCGTTCTGCTCAGTGACGCTGACTCGAGGCGGCAGCTCGTACCGGCTGTGGGAGTACCTGCTGACCACGCGGCCTGGGATCGGCTGGGTGTACGGCACGGCGTCAATCACCGGCATCGTCCTGCAGCTGCTCATCGTCGTCATGTTGATCTGCTCCAGCACCTTCGTCCGTAGAAGTGGGCACTTCGAGGTTCGAGATTGCCGTGAACTCCCACTCTCTTTATCGCACAATTAGCCGTGCGCATATCGGCTTCCGCGCGTCACCCAAAGAGCACGCAGTCACTCCACTTTACACTATATACCCTGTGAAGCGCTTTGAGACGTCTCGCGGATATGATAAGGCGCTGTGTTAAATGCAAGGATTATTTATTCTACACCCAATACTGTGTCCTCACTGCGCTCCCCACGCCGTCTCCTGCTCCTCGTCCCACCAAAGTCTCTCTAACCCCCTGTGCTACCGCCTCCAGGTGTTTTATTGGACGCACTTGAGTTACATCTGGGTGTGGGCTCTCCTGGTCCTGCACTGCTCCAACTTCTGGAAGTGGTTTGTGGTGTCCGGGTTCCTGTTCCTTATGGAAAAAATCATCGGTATCGCCGTCTCCCGGATCGGAGGAACTCAGGTTGTGGAGGTCAATCTGCTCCCCTCCAAGGTCAGTGCACACACTGGCCACTCCAACGACCCAATGTCCAACATACCAACGTGCAAATACAACCAACGTGCCACACCGCAACGTGCAACTGTGCAACACACCGACCTTCCCCGTCCACCCCCCCCACACACAGGTGACAGGTTCCTCTGCTCAGCTAACCCCATGTCCTTCTCAATGTCCAGGTGACCCATCTGGTTATCAAACGATCTCCGTTCTTCCACTACAAGGCCGGAGACTACGTGTATCTGAACATCCCGGTCATCGCCAAGTACGAGTGGCACCCCTTCACCATCAGCAGCGCCCCAGAGCAGCAAGGTACCACAGCTGGCAGTGATCCAGTGACTCCCTGTCAGGGGTTTGGGGTTGATCCCCGTAGCGTTCCAGAGGGTACATTCTGGGAACCTTCAGGATCACTTGTGCCAACCTGCCGGGGTGGGGGTGGGAGCGGGCAGCTGAGCCGGGGACATGGGAGGGCCATCGCCTGGTGGTGACCTGACTGTGACGGGGTTTGGTTTGTGTTCCAGACACCATCTGGCTCCACATCCGCTCGCTCGGCCAGTGGACCAACCGTCTGTACGAGTACTTCAGGCAGCCTGAGCGAGAGGGCACCGACCTCGGGACCCAGAGCCTCAGCCACAACCTGAGGAACAAGCGCTACCAGCGATGGCCTCAGGTCTGCTCTCCTCTCCCTGCTCTATTACAATCCCGAAAATTCTCCTGTGGCCTCCTCGACCCTCCCCTCCCCTCGTGCCCACCTCGTACCACCCTCATGCCCGCGGTGGCTGTTTATAGCAGTGTCTGTGTGCACCCCCCCCCACCCCCTTCACTCTCGTGGTGGATGTTTACAGCGGTGTCTGTGTGCCCCGGTCTCGCTGCATGGGGCGGTGGCCACTAATCAGGACGACACGGTGGAGCTGACCTCGTACACAGCGAGCTGCCCCCCCCACACTGAGGAGATGACGGTGGGTGTGGAGAGCGAGGACTCGACGCCGTTCAGGGAGGTGAGAGTCACGGGGACTAAACCTCCCACCACTTTATTTTGCATGAGCGGAAATAACACTTTCATAAGACCACCCGGTGTGAACATCAACCAGCCCAGTGACACCGAAACATAACATCACAATAATCTGGGACTCACAAGGGCATATGGACAGGACAGTCATCCGTAACAGACAGATATTATCACAAAGAACCAAAGAGATTTAGTAATACTAGATGTTGTATTATTGAGAATAATCCTTGCATTTGATATCGCGCCTTATTATGTCTTCGAGACGTCTCAAAGCGCTTCACAGGATACACTGCAAAGGGAATTGACTGTATATTTTGTGGGACGTATATTGATGTGACTATTATCCCAAGTGATTACAATGTGAGAAACAAGGAACTAGAGAAAATCAGGAAATATATCCTGGAGTTTAATCAGCTGGAAAAAATGTGCAATGACACACTGTAATGGTATTTGTGCTTTGCTTGTATTTAGATTTCTGCCAAACTAAGTGAGAATCACCAGTACTGCAACATCAAGGTAAACCCTTCCCTTACTGTCCCTTACCCTGACCTTAAATTTACAGTGTTTCGTGAAGCCTCAATAAGATCAACAGCTTGCGTTTGCACAGCGGCCTTCACGCGGAGTGGCGTCTCGGAGCGCTTAACAATGGCGGAGCCTAACATCGTGCCGTGGGCTCAGAGCTTAGATCATTCTTCACCAGGTTATTTATAATTTTTTTTTGGGGGGGGGCTGTGGGTGGGGCCTGTTCCTTGCAGTGTTACCTTGACGGTCCCTACGGAACCCCGACACGGACAATATTCGCCTCGGAGCACGCCGTGCTGATCGGAGCTGGGATCGGGATCACTCCCTTTGCCTCCATCCTGCAGAGCATCATGTACAGGTAGGATTCCCATAGCCCACAGGACAGGAGAGAAGAGGAGAGGGGTGAGTGATGACTGTAGCGGGTTCTGGATCACAGGGATAAAGAGATACTGCTTTGTCTATATTAACATTCCCGTGAGGCGTCGTGAAAGGGTTGAGCACAAATTGGTGGTTCTGAGTTGGCTTTTTCCCTGCTCTTAACCCGCGCTGTACCTGACCAGTCTCTGACGTGTGTTAGTTTGTGTGTTACTGTGTGTGGGTTACTGTGTGTGTTGTTGAGTGTGTTATTGTGTGGGTTACTGTGTGTGTGTTACTGTGTGTGTTATTGTGTGTGTTACTGTGTGTGTATTATTGTGTGTGATATTGTGTGGCTTTGCCCCAGGTATCGGATGAGGAAACAGAACTGTCCCAACTGTAACTATTCCTGGTGCCAAAACGTCAAAGACAATGAGATGAATCTGAGGAAGGTGAGTGTTAGGATTAACCCCCCCTCCCCGCCCCCACCCCTCCATCTGCCCCCACCTCTCCCTCCGCAGCCAATTCTCAGCACCGCAAGGTCTGACTGTGAGAGTGTCTCTGTGCCTCCAGGTTGACTTTATCTGGATCAACAGAGACCAGAAGTCCTTTGAGTGGTTTGTCAGCCTCCTGACCAAGCTGGAAATGGACCAGGCAGATCAGGAACCTGACGGTAGGGGTCACTACGACTAATAATCGTTACATTTGATGTGGCGCCTTATCACGTCGTTGAGACGTCTCCGAGTGCTTTGTAGGTTTTATTGTAAAGTACAGCCACAGTGTATTTTCTAGGTAATGGAAGCCTGGGATTGGGGGTCGGGGGGTTATATAAAATATTCCTTGCATTTGATATAGCGCCTTATCATGTCTTCTAGGCGTCTCAAAGCGGTTCATAGAAGATACTAAAGTGGTTTGACTGTATTTTTTGTGGGAGAAACGCGGCAGCCAATGTCCCACAAACAGCCGTAGATTGAAGCGACCAATTTATTATTGTTTTTTTCTTGAGGGACTATTATCAGGCGTGTGAGTGGCGTGAGGAAACTTGCCCAAGGTTTTGCCCCCTGCCGGGAATCGAACCCAGGTCTCTCGCTTGCGAGGCGAGGGCTCTAACTGTTGCACTGTCCTGTAGGTTGGGGACTGGGGGATTGCGGGGGGCTGGGGGGGGGTTGAGTGCTTGGGGGCCGGGGGGCGTTAGGGGCTGATGTATCTTTGCTGTGTGGCTTTAGGCAGGTTCCTGGAGATGCACATGTACATGACCTCTGCGCTCAGTAAGAATGACATGAAGGCACTCGGCCTGCAGATGGCATTGGACCTGTTGGCCAAGAAGGAGAAACGAGACTCCATTACTGGGTTGAGGACCCGAACCCAGCCTGGGCGCCCCGACTGGAGCAAGGTACCCCAACTCCTGCCCCCAACCCTCGCTCCCCCCACACCGTTTGCCTCCGCCCGTACCTCACCCCCTCATCACCTCCTGCCTCCAGCCTCCACTATTCCAATGCCCTCCTCACCCTCCCATCTTCCCAGCTCCACTACCCACCACCAACAATTAATTCAGAACTCTGCCGCCCGTGTACTCACCCGCACTAAACCCCGCACCCCCATCACGCCAGTCCTCGCCAGGCTCCGCTGGCTGCCAATCACAGAAGAGATCGAATTCAAGATCTTCACACCCGTCTACAAATCCCTTCACTCCCTGGCACCTCCTTGCCTCTCCGACCTCCTCACTCCCAATCCACCATCCAGCGCCTCCACTCGACTGGTACCGGCCTCCTGCTCGTCCCTCGCACCCTCCACTCCACCATCGGAGGTCGTGCTTTCAGCCACTACACCCCAAAACTCTGGAACATTCTCCCTCAATCCCTCCGCCTTACCCCCTCTCTCCCTTTTTTCAAGTCCCGCCTGAAAACCTTCCTCTTCGACCGCGCTTACGGTCACCAGCCCACTCCCCCCGGCTCAGAGTCAGGCTCCGCCACTGATAAGCTCTTAGACGCTACCCTGCGTGGAGGGTGCTGTATAAGTGCAAGTTGTTGTTGCTGTTGCTGGGACGTCCTCCCGACGTGAACGGCGCTAGACACACTTCATTTTGTTGTTGTTGTTGTTTAATGCTGAGACCATGTCTCTCCTGTCGCAGGTGTTTCAGAAAGTAGCCGACGAGATGAAGGGCAAAGTCCACGTCTTCTTCTGTGGTTCGCCCGCCCTGGCCAAGACCGTCAAGGCTCAGTGCGAGCACTTTGGCTTCAAGTTTTACAAAGAGAACTTCCAGTAACGTGGCCCACCATGTGCGCTCCGTCCTTCCCTCTCCAGAGCCCCTCCCCCACCGTGCCCCCTCCCCATCACCCCCTCTCTACCTTCACCACCCATGCCTTTTGATCCTTCACCTCATCTCTGCTCTGTCCTTCCAGTGCCTTGGGACGTCCTCCCGACAGGAGAGGTGCTAGACACATGTCAGTTGTTGTTGTTATATCAGTCCCCTCTTCCCTGCTCAGTGTTGTCCTATCGTTCCTGTGAAGCGCTTTGAGCACGTCTGTCCTAACTGAAAGGTGCCGTGTAAGTACAAGTTGTTGTTTGTTTGTCTGTTTATTTGTTTGTTTGATTGCTAGGATGTAAGGAGGACATTCAGCCCATCGAGCCTGTTCCGCTAGTTAATTAGAGAACGGCAGGTCTGTTAATCTCATTCCTGTTCCCTTTTTCTCCAGTAATGCTCTGCGCCTCATCCACACCATTTCCACAGCCTCGTTACCCAGCGCTCTCCAGGAGTTAAACATCCTGGTTGTTCCTGCCAGCATGGCTTTCTGGGGCAATGAGGTCCACATTCTGGCCACCTCCCGCAGGAGGCAGTATCTCTCATCGTGTTTGTGTTTGATGGGTGGAAAACCTGGAATAAATGTGTGTGTTGTAAGGCTATGGGTCGTCGTCTGTACTTGATTGTACTCTTGGACAGGACACAACATGTGTAGTGTAGTGGTTAGAGCACCCGGCTCACACGCGAGAGGACCCGGGTTCGAATACTATGCGGGACAAAACCTTAGACAAGTTTCCTCACTCCACACACGCGGGTTTACCCAGCAGTAATTAGGAACCCTGTTGTTAGTTGATTGGCCGATCGCTTTTCGGGGGTAGTAATCCCTTTTAAAAAATGTGGGCATTCAATCCACGACTGTTTGTGGGGACGCTGCTGTGCGCAATTGGCTGCCGCATTTTGCCCACAAATCATACAGTCAATTCGCTTTACAATATATTCTGTGAGTTGAGTTGCCTCAACGACGTGACAAGGCGCTATGTCAAATGCGAGGATTATTATTATTATTACTCCTCCTACCCCCCACCCCTCTCCCTGCAAGCCTCATCTGGTGTCAGCCTGGCTCGGTCGGAAGTGCTCTCATTTGCCTCTGTAATCATTCTGCAATCAGTTACACTCTGTAAAGTGCTCTGGGGGCTGTGTATTTCCATGTTGAAAGGTGTTGCGCGGACAGAGGCTGTGACATTTGGGAGAACATGTGTCGGTGGTGTAGTGGCGGGTGTGTGCCAGCAGCGGGCGCCAGCAGCTTACTGATGCCGCTTCAGCCTCATTCAATATCGTTGAGCAGAAAAAAGTGGGTAATAATTGTCCAGTATGTGCTCTGGTGCCCTTCAACTTAAAGGATTATTATTTCTGTAAAGTAGCAAGACTGTGTATTTTGTAGGGCAAATGTGGCAGCCAATTTGCGCGCAGCAACGTCCCGCAAACAGCCCTGGAAGTGAGCGGTCAATTTTGTCCGGGAGATTCTCTTTTCGAATAGCACCGCGGGAACTTTAACGTCCATCTGATGTTTAACGTCCACAGGCAGACGGGAACCTCGGTTTAATGTCTCATCCGAAGGACGGCACAATGCAACACCCCACCCCGCTCCCTCCCCCACCAACCGCACTGCAATGGAGCATCAGCTTAGACTGTTTGATTCCAAGTTCCGACGTGGGGGCTCGAACGATGCCTAATTTCCCCCCCTCTCTGAGCTTCATTCCCTAAAATAAAATGATCAGAATTGTCCCCAGTGCAGTGGTGGTTTCTGCTATTCAGTTCCAGGAGAACCCTCAGTGATGCACCAAGGCTCAGTGTGAGCAGAGAGACAGGTAGGGTTGTGTGTGATGGCAGACACCGCCAGAGTAAATCAGCAATTAAATGAATTATTGAGGGCAGGACCTAACTCAGAATAACACAGCAAGCAGTTTCCCTCCAGCTGCTTTGTGCTCTGAACGTGTGCTAAGACGTGTCTTTGAAGTGCTGGCTGTGTGTGTGTGTGTGCTGTTCACCAGCCGAGCTCCGTCACTGGAAATCGCTTTGAGAACGTGTTTCCCCGTGTGGAGGTGCTGTGTGAGCGTAAGTAACTCTTGTCAGCGCTCAGCCAGCGCCTGTCCTTATATTCAGGGGGCGACCGGCTATATGGAAATTCTGGAAATTTCAGGACTGTTTGCGCAATTGGCTGCCGCGTTTCGCCCACAAAATTCACAGTCAGTTCACTTCACAGAGTGTCCTGTCAAGCGCTTTGAGGTGCCTCATCAAACGGAAAGATTATTAGTATTGTTATTAACTGTTATTGCTTTTGTTGTTGTTATCCAAGGGCTGATCTCAACCAAAATAAAACAGAACGGATCAGGGTAGGGGGTGGGTGGGGGTCGGTTGGCTTGGCTCAGTCACTAACGCAGTGTGTTGCTGTGTTAGTGACCGAGCCTGGCTGACTGACCCCACATCCATTCTGACCACCTCGGTTGAGGGATCCCAACAGGTTGTGGCCAATGGCTAACAGTAACCCATCTGTATGTTCCCCACAAATATAATAACAATCCCTGCATTTAGCATGTGGGCAAGAGCTTTCACAGGGTTTTACTGTTACGTGTAATAATAATAATAATCCTTGCATTTAATATAGCGCCTTATCACGTGTAGAGACTGTGCTTGTGGGCGGACGGGGCAGGTACAGATGGGCTCCAGTGCTGATGTAGGTGGGTTGGGCAGAGCCACAGATTACCATTTAACTCTCGCTGAGACGTCTGCTCTAACCCCCGGGTGACAGCAGTCAAAACCTAACTTAAAAAGGGTAAATACAGGAAGCTAATGTTATCCAAAGCATCAATAATTAACCCTGGTAAAGTGCTGGTTCTCACGCGGGGGGTGGTGGGGCGGGAGCTTTAGCAGGGCCGGGACTCCCAGCGTCTCGGGAAGAATTGATTCCTGACTCGGGATCGAGCAAGTGTTAAACGCTTCCCAATCTCAGCCGTGACCTTGTGTCCTGCTCGATTCAACAGGAGAGCGAGAGCCAAACAGTCTCCCTTTTCTCTTCTGTATCTCTCTCTCTCTCCCTATGACTTTCCTCTCTGTCTCTTTTTTCCCTCTCCCTCCCTCTTTCCCCTCATTGTCTCTATTTCTCTCTCACTCTTGTCTTTTTTTTCATTCTTCTCTCTCTGAATCTCTCTCTGTCTCTCCCTCTATGTCTTCTCTCTGTCTCTCTGCACCTTTCTTTATCTCTTTCTCTGTCTCTCTGCACTTCTCTCGCTGTCTCTTTCTCTGTCTCTCTGCACCTCTTTCTCTCCCCCCTCTCTATCTATCTATCTCTCTGCCTTTTTCTCTCTTTCTCTCTCGCTGCAACTCTCTCTCTGTGTCTCTGTGCGTCTCTGTCTCTCTCTCTCTGTCTGTCTGTCTGTCTGTCTCTCTGTGTGAGGAGGGTAGGGGTTACAGACAGACTATCTAGCAGCAGGCAGGGAGGCTGTGAGCACCCAGCAAGGTCAGGCTGACGTGATGGATACTGTGCTGCTCGCATCCCGATGAAAAATTAATGAAATCCTCTCTCTCGCTCTTGCTCTCTCTCCAAAATCACAGCCTCCTGTCATCTCCTCGCCCTCAGCTTATCACAGCCGCTCTTAGTCAGGAGTAAATTATTCAGAGATTCTGGCCTCTCGGATTGAAAGCCAAAATTATAACGGGACTTTAGGAGGGGGAGACGGAGAAGAGGGGAAGGAGGAAAAGGAAGGAGAGAGCGGAGGAGACGAAGGAGGGTAGGGTGTAGGAGAAGAGGGGAAGGAGGAAAAGGAAGGAGAGATCGGGGGAGATGAAGGAGGAGAGGGTGTAGGAGGAGAGGAATTTGATTATACAATGGGAGTGGAACAATTTGACACCAGCTCACGCCCCTCCGAGTCAGGAGGATGCGCGTTCAAGCCCCCCCACATGTCGAGGACTTTGAGCTCGGAGTCGAGGCTGACTCTCCAGTGAGATGCTGGCGAACGCTTCTTTGTCAGAGGGGCCGTCCTTCAGATGAGATGTTAAACTGAGTTCGCCCACAAAATACACAGTCACTACACTTTACAGAGACAGCCAGCTGACGTGAAAAGCACTGTATCAAACACATGGATTATTGAACACTGTATGTGTGAACTATTTAACATGTGCCTGTTAGCAGCACCTGTCTGGTAGTGTGCGCCTGGTTAACACTGAACACGAAGCGCACACGCTCACACACAGGTTTGTGCTCACACACAGGCGTGCGCTCACACACAGGCGTGCGCTCACACACAGGCGTGTGCTCACACACAGGCGTGCGCTCACACACAGGTGTGCACTCGCTAACAGGTGTCTGATTTAGCACTGAACACAGCGGGAGTTTGGAGAGATGATGATTTATGGTTTACGAGAATGTGAATTGGGTTCATTTGAGACTTTGTGCGATGAAAAGTATTGATTCTGCATAATAACCTTCCCCAGCGATGAAAGCTTATAAAACTCCGCAAGTTATAACTGTAATCTCACACAGCTGGGCACATGAGGCTGGCTTCAAAACCTCCCTATTTCCTCTTTTAGAACTGACTTCTAACGGGGGTGGTGGGGGGGATTGGGGAGGGAAGGGGTGTAAATGATCAGTGGCCGGACTGTAATTAGCATTGCGGAGGCACGACAGCTTGTGAACGCCCCCCAAACCTCCCCACCCCCCCACCCCCCCGAAGTTAAAGGGCTTTGATGTGGAGCCCCTCCACTCCCATTAATTGACTCTCTGCACTGCTGTTCTGATACCTTCAGCTGCCTCTCAGTTAATGACTTCAATCTACATTGTCCTGGGAGATACCTGAAACTACGGGGAATAAAGTGCTTTCATGATAATAGTAATAATAATAATAATCGCATTTGATACGGCGCCTTATCATATTGTTGAGACATCTCAAAACAGAATATACTGTAAAGTGCAATGACAGTGCATTGCGTCGGTGAAACATGGCAGCCAATTGCACACAGCAGTGTCCCACAAACAGCCATGGATTGAGTGTCCCTGCTGAGTAGGGTGGGTGAACGGGGTGTGCTCTCTCTCTCTCTCCGCTCTTCGTTGCAGCTAAAGATAGAGGACGTTTGGAGATCAGACGTCTTTGGGAACTATCGAGTTGGCGTTCGTGGCCCTGGTTGGTGTGGAGATCATTATCTTCTGCCTTTCTTCCCTCCCTGTATTCGCGAAGTCCTGTATCGTTGTGGTTAGAGCATACGCCTCGCAAGTGAGAGGACCCGAGTTCGATTCCCCGGGTGGGGCGAAATCTTAGGGAAATTTCCTTACTCCACGGGTCTCTGTTTACCCAGCAGTAAGTAGGCACCCGGTTGTTAGTCGATTGGTGAATCGCTTTCCGGGGGTAATAATCCTTCCAAAAATATAATAATTTGATCCCTCAATCCGCTGGGACCCTGCTGTATGCAATTGGCTGCCGTGATTTGCCCACAAAATATACAGTCAACACTTTACAGTATATTCTATGAAGCGCTTTGAGACGTCTCAACCACATGATAAGGTGCCATATTAAATGCAAGGATTATTATTATGATGATGATTGATGCTCCCCCTCTGTGTCCCTTCAGAATTAGCCGTCCTGACTAAATCTCATAAGCCGTAAGATGAATAGATCCAAATACAGATCAGATCAGCCAAATCACTTGATCAGCTTAGCTGAT